ACAGTTCATGTTTGCAATGATAGGAGTTGCTTTGTGGAGTTGAATGAGAATGAAAAGTATGGAGATATTGTGGTTGCTAACAAAGAAAAGGTGCAGATTCAAGGCATTGGGAGTGTTCGCCTTAAATCTCACAATGGTGTCATTAGGATGCTTCATTATGTAAGGTATGTACCAAGTTGTCACTACAATTTGATTGCTTTGAGTGAGTTAGCTTCTCGGGGTACACATTTTATGGTAGTAATGATTGGTAAAAGTGTACAAGAATGGTAGTGTGATTCTACAAGGGAATAGGGTCAATCACTTGTACATGTTTGATGGGAGCTCAGTTGCTGGAATGCCTCGTGATGAAAGAAAGAAGAAAGGTAAGCATGTTAGCTTTACAGATACTGTTGAAGTGTTTGGAGATTCAAGTCAAGGGAGGATTTGTTGGGATTTGCCTTGAATCTTAGAATCCCACATCGAAAGTTAAGTAAGTTTGAGTTTGTCTTGTATCCCACATCGGGAGTTTAGTAAAGGTATAAAGGGTTTCACCTTTATAAATAAGATGTTTTTGGTTTAGTTTGTAACCCCAGAGAGTTAGACACCAAGAGAATAGCTAAGTGAGTAGGCTATTAAAAGGGTGTAATTGGGTTTTGGGTTAAGTTTTGAGTAAGGAGTTTTAGGAGACTTTTCTCATTCTAAAAGTCTCACAATTGTAAAGACTTATTTGATAGTGGATTAGATTTGGAGTAGGCCATTTTGAGTTGGGCCGAACCAAATATATTTGTGTGTTCTTATTCTTGATTTGAGCTTGTTATTTTGTGTATGGTTGCTGCGCGTGGGTATTGTGGTATTTCCCAACAATATGAATAAATGCTTAGTTTATATCTACTAATTTAGCTATTGTTCAATATGCATTTTAATAGTTTAATGACACCAACTAATCCGTTTTTTATGCATTAAAGATGGTTTGAAAGCTTGTTTAATTTAATTTTATGAAGTCAAAATGAAGATATTTTGATATAAAAGTTGTTTTGAATTAATGCAGTCCAAAGATAATTAAAGCAATGCATGCAGCATGGAAGATTGCCAATTTATTTACTCGATCCACTTTGTTTCAAATATTTACTTTTCATATATAATATAATAATTATTAAATAATTTTATTATAAATTTTATCAATTTATAACTAAATTATCACATCAAATGAAATAAAAGATGTTAAGATATAAATGACGATATACAAATAATATTTTTCTTTTAAATGTTAAGATATAAATGATGATTACTACCGTTTTAATTTTTCTCCACTTCATTGCCAGCTTATTTCTGAAATTAACCACCCTTCTTTAAACCAATTCAATGATCGTGATTTGTGAAAATAAAGTTTCTGGCAGTGGAAGATAAATCCTGGGTTGGAAAAAGTTGGTTACCCCTTTTTTTTTTTTTCATTTTGAAGAAAAAAAGAGAGATTCATTTTCTCTTTATCTCCCTGTTGGAGAAGGTATCACAGTGGGGACGCCACTTAGCTCTCCATCAACCTTTGCTTTCAAACAAAATTAATAAATTACAACTATTTTCTTTAAATTAAAAGGTGTTTGTAAATATGTTAAAATTAATTAACATTTTTTTTATAAATTTTTATGTTTAATGAATTATTGAAAATAAAATCAGGAACGATAACCTAGTACGCCTTTGACTCAACGTTTGAGAATCATCGCCTTTTTTTATTAAACATGATTAGAGTATTTTTTAAGTGTTGTTTGAATTTATTTTTTAAAATAATTTAAAAAAATTTTCATATTAATTTAATATATTTAAAATTTTTCTTTTTAAAATATTTTTCACAAAAATTAAATCCAAAGTTAAAAAAACTCTTCGGTCTTTCCTTTATCAAGTTATACACGTTATCTTTTTATTAGTATTAAGTGTCAAATCATATTCACTTGTCTGCGCCGCCCCTAATAATTATGCGTATATTAATACGATAAATATATATATTTTTAAATAATTATCCATACATAATTTTTTATTAAAAAATATAAATTCCAAAATCTTTTCAAAGGAAAAAAAATTATCGACTTGGGCTGGATTCGCAATTCAATTGCTCATCATACTAATATATTTCCAATAAAAATATCTCAAATTTTTGGGGAAAAAATCCGTTGATGTAATCGGATAAAAGTGGGCACGGCAACGGTATTACCATACTCCCAGAGCATTTTACTTAAATTAATTATAATATAATATAATTAATTATAATTTAAAATTTATATAAAACTGATATTTTTATATAAAAATTTCTTAAATAATTTTTTATTTTAATTAAACATTATATAAACACTTATGATAACTACGAAGCGAAATCGGCTACGGTGACTGGGGACGCATTTTGTTTAGAAAAGAAAAAGGAAAAGGGACGTAATCTAAAATGTTTTTCTCGAGTTGAGCTGTAAGGGGACAAATGGGTACACGAGTGGTCGACATCACTCCTTCAGATCCACGTCATTCCACAACTTATCCTGTCTCCCCTTTCGCTCACGTAGCTCATTCTACTTTTTGACATTAAACTATTGAGACCTTTGGCACTCTTAGATGGCCAACCCACCACTTTTCTTCACCGCAAGTAGTGTTTCTTATTCCTTTTGCATAATTTTCGGTAATCTCTCTCTCTCTTTTTTTTTTTTTTTTTTTACGTATGATTTTGGGACATAATAAAGTTAGTTTTCTCTTATTAAATTTCATATTTTTTAATCTAAAACTTGATTCGTTTGTTTTTTTTTTTTTTCCGTAAATAGTATTATTGTAAAGCTTGTTTTATATTGTAGTTGTTATAGATGTAAAAGTTATTTATAAAACTTTTTTTTGAACATATTTATATTAGAATTTATAATTGATGTATTAATAGTATATAATTTATGAGTATGGTTGTTTAATTATATTTTAATTTATTAATTGATTATCCAATGTTATAATTTGATAATGATTTAATAATTGATTATTCAATTGATTATATGAATTTTATATTTTATTATAATTGTAATTTCTCAAAAAAATTTACAAATTGTCACATTATTAATGAACAAATTTTAAAAGATAAAAATTTCTAGAACATAAAAAATAAAAGTTTATTTTATTTATTTTTAAAAACTTCTCAACTTTTAAATTTGTTCATTAACGATATAGTAATTTGTAGCATGAATAGAATTTTTTTTTCACTTATTTCCAATAAAATGTGATCGATAATGGAATATGAGCTAAGATTACACTGTGAAGCACATTAGTGTTTAAGAAGACGGACTTGATTAATTTACGATGACGTGATAACAGGGTTGACATTTTTTACGTTCAATAAGTGACCCAGCCAAGATTTTTATTTTTATTTTTTTATAAAATTATAAGTACATAAGTTACAATTATAGGTAAGTATTACATTAAAATATATACATATATACATATAATATAAAATATATATTATATAGTAGGAATATACTTACTTTACCATCAGAGTTACATAGTTTTTTGACCTATAAATCAAAATTAAATCCATAACATTTACATTTAGTTTTGATAAATGAGTAAAAAATTGTGTAACATTTATATTAGTGTGAGTAGATCTTTCATGAGAGATCCACTTACTCTTTTTTAGACTCTTAGTTCAAAATTATTAATTTTAAAAATATTATTTTGATTTAAATGAATCACGAATCTACTTATATTATTGTAACTTTTATATTTTTTAGATTATTTGATCAAAATTATTAAATTTAAAAGTATTATTTTAATTTAAATAAAACATGCAATTAATATTGATATAGGGATAAAAAATATAAGAATTACACTAATATTAATAAAAATTTTATTCATATATATAAAGAGTGAGATTTACACTGACAACTGTATTTCTCTTCCAAATTAATTTTCATAAATTTTTGTTGTAGAATAAAATTAACACCAAAAAATTTGTTCTCTAAAAATGTCAAAGTCCAACCTCTTTTATCCTTGGAAAATTTTGATATGCAAAGTTTTTTCTTTTGAAAATTTTCTAGGAAAAAAAAAAGGAAAAACTTGACACTTTAAGAAAATTCATGGTTATTTTCAAACAAAGATATTCTAGCATCATTTTCAAAAATTTAAGAGACTATTAATTGATTATTATATATTACTAATGGGAAAATATTTAAAGAAAATTTTAATTTTCAATTGTTTTTTTTTGGTAGTTTTAATTTTTTTTTCATTTTTAACTGTCATCCCTTTCTTTTGTAGGGAAGATGTTAATAAATAAAGCTAGTAAGGCTTTATCTTAACAATAAAAAAAAGATTTTAAAATTTTAAGATTTTAAATTTAATTTTTATTTATTGTGGATTCGATTAAATTTTACCTTGAGTTTATTTGATTTTATATTAAGTTAATAGTTAAATTATCTATTTGATTTAATTTTTGAACTTTTATATATGATATAATACTTGATTTTTATTATAATTTATTTAAAATAAAAAATAATAATTTCTCAACGATTTAATTTTGAAATATTTTAACGCCCCAAAATACGGGAACTAAGATTTTATTTTTGTTTTTAACTAATTAAAAGGGCAAATGCGGAAAATGAGAAAATAAATGGGCAAGTAAAACAAGGAACATTAATAGTCGTCGGACGAGTATCCAACCCGAATTCGCTAACCTGAGTTTGTTAACGGGAAGGCAATTTCCCACGCCCAAACAAAGAGCGTGGGTTCACTACAAAACTGTCGGCGGTGTTCACGCGCCAGAATTACATTGATTTTTTACAACCTTGAGCAAAAGTGAATTACAGAAAATAACCGAAGTTGGTTGTTTTACTTGCAACAAATTTAACCGCTTTCAAAACAAACCCACAAGCATTTTTTACCTGAAACAACGTAAAAAAGAGATGAGAGGGTGAAAATCCTTTTATTCTTTTTACCTTTCTCTCGATGCCTCTCTCCTCCCTCTTCGAGTTCATATAAAACAAACAGACAAAACGGAAAACGGATAAAAAGATTGCTCAAAGTCATAGGGATTTTTTTTCCCCATTTTCTCAGTGTTAAAACCGACGACGAGAGGACGGATCTGGTCAACGGCATTTGACCGTAGAAACGATTACAAAGTAGGGATAAGAATGTAATTAAGCCTTGTTTATGTGCTTTCCTTTCTTATACATAAGGTCTCAGTTTGCTTCTTTATTTCCTCTCTTTATCCCCTTGAGCCGCTAAGGGAAAGAGAAGAGAAGAGAAATGAGAACAAGGAGAGGACTTTGTTACCCAAGAGCTGATGTTTGTGTAGACAAGATAGTAGTTAAACGGAGGGATTTCGCTGGTGATAATATGGCTTGTCGGAAACGGCGAAGATTCACGCCGGAGGTTGTCGGAAAGAGTGACTTTTTTGATGCTTTACCCGATGATCTTGTCGTTTCCATACTCAGCAAATTGAGCTCTACCGCTCGTTGCCCTTCGGATTTCATCAACGTTTTGATTACGTGCGTTGCCGTTTCACTGGACTTTTTCGGTTGTCTTGTTTTTGAGGGAAAAGTTTGGAATTTTTTTTTTTTGGCTTCTTACGAATTTATTTGTTGTGAAAACAGATGCAAGAGATTAAATCGTTTAGCGCTCCATTCTCTGGTATTATCTAAAGCCTGTCCAAAAACGTTTGCCATTAAAGCCAAAAACTGGACCGACTCAGCTCACCGGTTCTTGAAGACTTGTGCTGATGCCGGAAATGTTGAAGCTTGTTACACTCTCGGCATGGTGAGTTAACTCGGAAATAAATAAATTTTATTTGTTATTTATTAAAAATTCCAATTTTGTTTTCACTTCTTATCAAGTTAAGTCTAGAATATAGACATTCTCTAACGAGTTAAATGTTTTATGATATGCAACAGATTCGTTTCTACTGTTTGCAAAATCGAGGGAGTGGAGCCTCTCTTATGGCTAAGGCGGCGATTAGCTCCCACGCGTCGGCGCTTTACTCGTTAGCTGTGATTCAGTTCAACGGAAGCGGCGGCTCTAAAAGCGATAAGGACCTCAGAGCCGGTGTGGCTTTGTGCGCTCGAGCTGCTTTTCTTGGCCACATCGACGCCCTGCGTGAGCTCGGCCACTGCCTGCAGGATGGGTACGGCGTCCGACAAAACATTGCTGAGGGCCGTCGATTTCTCATCCAAGCCAACGCCCGGGAGTTAGCGTCGGTTTTATCATCAGAAGCTGCTTCTAACGTCTCTACGCGCTCTTGGCTCTCTTGGAGCCCACACCCGATCCCGCATCCCAACCATCGACATCCATCCCTGCCGGGGTGCCCGTTGCTGAGTGATTTTGGATGCAATGTGCCAGCGCCGGAGGCGCATCCGGCTAGCAGGTTCTTAGCGGAGTGGTTTGGCGCTCGAGGAGGGATGGCTGGCCCGGGGTTGAGGCTATGCTCGCACATTGGTTGTGGAAAGCCGGAGACAAGAAAGCACGAGTTTCGCAGGTGTTCAGTTTGTGGGGCAGTTAATTACTGTTCACGAGCTTGTCAGGCGCTTGATTGGAAGCTGCGCCACAAAGCCGAGTGCGCGCCGGTAGAGCGGTGGCTCGACGAAGAAGGTGATGGTGGCGAGGGAAACGGAGCGGTTGATGAGAACAATGGTGTCATCGCCGAAAGCTAGAAATGGTAACGGCCCATGGTAATTTATCAGTTTTAAGGCCATTAAAAATGAAAAAGTGGAAACGGAAGAAACGAGGCCAGTTTTGGTGGAAATTTAGTAAAAAAAATTTTACCATGGTTTGTTGAAACGGCGGAATTTACCTTTCCCCTTGATCGTATAAGGGGTAAATCGGAAAATTCAGGTTTTTTTTTTTTTTAAATCCTTTTAACTTTCTTTTTGTACTATAGAGCAATGTTCGCCTAAATTTCGGTAAATTAAAATTCAAAATCCAGTAATTTTCTAGGAGTATTTATTTCCATTTATTTTATAAATAATTTTGGTTAGAATGTGGATTCGGGAATGGCATGATTTTGAAGGTTCATTGCTGCAATCAAATTATCACATTCTTATAGTTTAAATTTTAATTTATGTAATTTTATTATTTGTTAAATAAAAATACCAAGAGACTGACCAGAAGAAATCCAAGAAAATTGAAAAAGAAAAAAAAAAAGGAATAAGAAATGAAAGTAACGGGAGAGACATGCAGTGTTTGTAAGTGGAAGATAATGTGGTAATGTGGTTGTTTCCTGAACTTTAAAAATTGCTCAATTTAATGGGTGGTGAGGAGGTGGTCCAGGTCCCCAACCTATCGAAAGGATATTGGTTGGAATTCCAGCTGTAGCTTGAAAACAAATTTCTAGTGTTGCAGCAAAAAAAGGAAGATCCATCCAGATTTCTTCACTCTGAAAGGGTGCTTGACTTGACTCTCTGTCCACTGTACTTAACCAAAATGTACTCCAATTTGAGCATAATGGAGAGAATCAAGCCTTTTTTATATAATCTTTTATTTGGGACTTTGCATTTTGGGTTTAAGTTCATCAAACAGCAAAATATTTGATTGTCACATCTGACCAATTTTTTTTTTTGAGTTAATTATATTTTTTACATTTTAAATTTAAAAAAATATATAAATTAATATTTAAAGATATAAAATTATAAAATTTACATTACCATTCAAATAATATATAATTTACACAATAAACTTTTAAATTATATATCATGTTAATTTAAATTATAATTCTATTAATCATATCAATTTATATATGTAGTGTTTGACGAATATTATTAAATTATGAGTTTATCACACTTATTATTTATACTTTTTTAATGTAATTTAAAAAATATATTTTATTTGAACCGTAAAAAATTATTTAAAATCAATTAATAATTTTTTTTGTCACGTACATAAACATGAAATTTTTACAAAAATCTAATATTTTTATTTAACAAATAATATGCATATAATAAAATTATACTAGTTAATTACCATATAAATGAATTAAATTAACAACATTATAATTAAAATTAAAATAATTTTTTATTTGAAAGTTTAGTATGTAAAATATACATTTTATTTCTTTAGAAACTAATTTAAATATTATTTTCAAAATTCAAATATAAAAAATATAATTATCTCTTTTTTACACCAAGCCAAAATCAGCATAACCATGACGGCACAACCTTTTGCTTATGGATATGCTACATTTGCTTCAACACTTGAAATTTGGGTTTGACATGGACTAATGTTGGGAAACAATAATACACTCTAATTTTATTAGGAGACAATTGTGTTTTTTGGATGATTGGGTATACCAAACTTTGCTTAAGATTATTTTCAATGACCAAACAAACTAAAACATGACAACTAAAGCTTAAAAATCTTGCTATAATTTCATAAATTTTAAGTTAAAGGCTACTATATACTTAGAAATACCAATCTTCCTACCACTTTTGTATCCCTTTAGATATAAATGAATAGAGTTTTTGACAAACTATTTGTGAATATAATTAGGTTATATTTATTTGTTAAGTTTAATAAATAATATTAAATAATATTTTAATATTCATTTAATAAATGAACCGAGCATGATTAGAGGTTTGTTTCTTTTGTTTATGTTTATGAATAAGTTCGTTTAACGTTCGTGAATAAATTTACTAAATACTTATTTATATTTGGTTTTTATTCTCTCTTATATGACTTCTTTTGATTAAATAAATTTTAATAAGATTTTAATTACAATTTAATATTAATACATTGAAAAGTACATTTGACAAAAATTAAAAATCTTTCATAAATTTTTTAAAAAGCTATTGTAAATATAATTTTTAATTGCCTAAAATGGACAATGAATGAATTATAGAAGAGACCTTTTGTTTATAGTCTTTTTATCCCACATGGCTTGGAAAACTCTTTATAGATGGATATGTCTCCTTCACTTTTGAAAACCAAGTTATTGGTTTGCAATATCAATTTTTTAGTTATTAGTTTATGTTCTTTTTTATGATCATGAGTACATCTTAGTTTTAATATTCACAAACAAGTTCGTTCAATTTAAACGAATCGATCTCAAATTGAGCTTAAATATTTTAATATCTAAACGAATTGAACTTGTATATAAGTTTCGTTTGTTTTATGAAAATTGATTTCTAAAAATATTTTTTGAAAAATATCTATATTTTTTGAAAAAGTAGAGATTTTTTGTTATTTGTATGATTCAAAGAAAATTGTTTTCTATTTTTTATTGGTTTTTGAAAAATCTATTTTTTAAATAATAATGACATAACTATTAAACTATTAAAAATTATTTATGATTAAAATATATTAAAATTATTTCTTATTAAAATTATAAATATTAAAAAAATTATATTTTAATAATAATATTTAATATTTAAAATATTATATTAATATAAAAATATTAAAATAAAATTATTTATTATTTATATTAATATTTCAAAAATATTTCAAATAGTATTACTATTCTTAAAATATTATTTTTATTAATATAATAATAAAATAGTAATGTTGATTATTAAGATATTAGAAGTATGTATACTATTAAAAATTTTTATTTTTTATTGAAAGTATTTATGATTAAATCATAACAAAAATATTATTTATTTATAGTTATAGTTAAAATAATAATATAATACATTAATAAGTAAAATATAAAAATACTTTAAATTAAATAATAATAATAAATTACTAAAAAATTCATTTTATGAAAATAATAATAATATATTATTTAATATTAATTATTAACATAATAAACTATTATTTAATATATTACTAGTTATTATTAAAATAATATAATAATATTTCTTCTTGAAACATTAAAAATATTTATGCTCAATTATATACAAAATAGATATATTTAGAATTAAATTATTAAAAGACTTTTAATGTTAATATTTAAAATTTTTAATTAAAATTAATTAAAATATTTTTTATTAATATAATAATATTTCATATCAGATTAAATCAAGTCTAAACTTAAAATATCATGTTCAAGGTTTTACTTGAGTAAAATTATAAAAATATTTTTAAAATTAAAATGTTAAGAGATTGTTAATATTAATATTTTAATTTTTTACATAAAATTAAATAAAAATATTTTTTATTAATATAATATTAGTTTAGATTAGATAAAATTAAGTCTGAGTTAAAAAAAGTTATGCTCAAGGTTTGACTTGATTAAAACTATGCTCGCAAGTTCGACAAGCAATTGTACCCATAAATAGTTTTTTTTTTAAAATTGTCTTTCCATTTTGATTTCATTTTTTTATTAAATAAATATAAAAAAATACAAAAATCAATTTTCAAAGTTATTTTTCATGAAACAAATGAAACCATAATATACAATTTTTTTATCAAACGTGAACAATATTAAAAATAAACTTACGAACCACCCAAAAATAACTATATTTGTTTATGTTCAATTTGTTTATATTTTTATATCCCTTGATATGCCAATAATATATTAATTTAAAATTTTAATTGTAACATTTTATTTATGAATCATTCTGCTATAAAAAAGGGGTATGGTTTTACGTTATTTTATTATTATTTTGGAAAGTGTCATTCACTTTTGCGTAAACTTGCTCATGTGCCAAGTGACCCATTTGAAATTTTAAAAGACTTGGATATGAATATTAAGTCTATTAAAAGGATTTGGACAAATAAATGAGGCTCGATTAAAAAATAAGATCAAGCTTAGGTTTCACCATTTAAAGCTTAGGTCTGGCCTGAAAAATAAAAAATATTTTTATTATAATAGGATAAGGTTCATTTGTTTTATTTTTTATAATGGATAAGGCACATTTGTTTTATTATTTATAATAAGATAAAGCTTAATTTTTTCTTTTTAAAAAACATTAATACAATGATCTAATTTATTATTTATAATAAGATAAAGCTTAATTTTTTTCTTTTTAAAAAACATTAATACAATGATCTAATTTTAAATTGCATTCAACAAAATTAAATTGGATCCAAACCAACTGACTCATAAATTTAATTAAAATTAATTAAATTAGTTAAATTAATAATTTACAAAAAATTTAAAAAATTATTTTTCTTAATTTTAAATACTAGTATTTTGGATGGGCTTGAACTTTATTATTATATGTAGGAACAAATTTAGGCAAAAATGAGACCCGAAAAATCGAGTTGGATCAGGCCTAAACTTACTTTAAAATGTTGAAATATCATACTAAACCTGACCTGACCCGACCCGACCCTTAAGCAGCTTTACCTTTGTGTATCTTCTGCTTGTGGAATTGGCCCCAAGCAAAGCTAATGAAATGAAGAAACTATAATCTCTTAACCACCACTCATGAGACTTCAAAATTCATATCCTTGATTTGATTATGCATAAAATATAATTAGTGCAATTATTATAAAGAATTTGAGTGATGATCTTCTAATCCTTTAACAATATATAAAGTAGTTACTTATTGATGGTCCTAAATATTATTTCAAAATTCAAGCTATAAATGTATTCAAAGTCTGGACTCTAGAGTTATAGATCTTATTCACCATCATTTTATTCTCTTGTTTTTTATTTGAAACAAAAATTTGAACTTTGTTTTTTGAAAATGAGATAATCATAATTAAATTTTATTTTAATTTGTTCATATAATTATTTTAAAAATTAATATTTAATAAATTTAAAATTTAAAGCAACATGTAATCTCTTTTCATTATTCTTAACTAGACCTGTTCATGGGTCGAGCGGTCTGTCCGAACCAAAAAGTTTACCTAAAATTTTAAAGGGCTTGGGTACGAATATTAAGCTCGTTAAATGGGCCTAAACAAATAAATGAGGCCTGATCAAAAAATAAGGTTAGGTTTGAGCTTTACCATTTAAAATCTGGGCTTAGTCCAGTTCAAAAATTAAAAACTATTTTTTTATCATAATAAAATAAAGCCAATTTACTTTATTTTTTATAATGGACAATGCCCATTTACTTTATTACTTGTAATATA